TGTCAGAGTGACGAAAGGCGCGCGGAAGCCAGACTACCCGCTTTTGGCTCTATTTTCAGGGCTCTGTAAAAATTATAAATAATCGAGATACAGTTTCGAGAGTCGGGACTTTTTTTACGCAAATTCATTGACCTTTTCAAATCTTTTTTCAAATTTCCAAAATTTTGAAAATTTTCCGAGACATAAGAAAAAACTATAGCCCCAGTTTTTTCACTTGATTGTTTATAACTTTTGTAATTTTTATCGGCGCGTTTTCGGACCTTTCCTTGAACTTTCTAGACAAAAATACGAATCGAATGACACTTTGATCGTAATTTTTGGACAGGGCTGAAAAATGACACCAAAAAGAGCTAAATCGAGTACATGTGAACCAGACTAAAGGAGCAACAAAATGCTTCAAACAATAAATTATTGATTCACATGTATGACATTAAACTAAAAAAATAACTTCACATGTACTTTTTCAATCCCTGTCTATCTGTCAAAAATTTTGTTGAAATCTTTTTTATTGCTAAGTAGCCGTCGCTCTGTTACTAACGATAACTCTCAGAATTCTAAACTTGCGCGAGCCAATGAATATCGAGGTCTTGTCTATCAACGTGTATTATTATTCATGTTTATTCATTTAGCGTCATGTTTACTGTGCCATATTTTTCTTACTGCCACATAATCAATCAATTTCAAGTTCAAGTGAATCTATAACAATAATACTCGTAGAACGATACACACTTTGAATTTATTTTGATCCTGAGATGCTTTTTATTTTCTATTGTTTAAACAATCTTGTCATTTCTAATTTTTACTTTATGATTTCACCATACATTACAGTCTATACTTTTAACGAAGAAGCTAACAGTTAATTTTGTTAAATATTATAATATATAATATTATTTATGCGTTGAGTTATATATATAAGAGTTTTATTTAATTTATTATCTGAAGTTACGNTGTGTGAAGATAGGTTTTCTGCCTGGCAAAATATTATGAGATACAGGTCAGATCCTCTCATCAATATAATGAATCAATATTCATTTCTCGAAGAACATTCTGCAGTGAATTTTCATTATTTATTAGAAATAGTCGTAGCTGTTCTCCAATTTACAACACATTTTGGATGCCGCTGACGCCGTGTGCAGTAGGCTCACGCTACAACTCATGGCTAGAAACTCGTAAGATTATAAGGTTTTTAATCATTCACTCAATGAATATAAATATCTCAGTTTGTTCACTTAAAAAAAACTATTATTTGAGTCACGGATTCTACTCTGTGGATAAATATCACTCACATAAATCGACATAAATCGTCATCTATTTTATTAATTTTAAATACACTGACTCATCAGTTGATGAAAATCAACAACAGTATTCATGATAATAATTATAAATATGTACAATATATTGAAGTCAGTTGATTGTAGTGACTTGCTACAAATATTTTTTATGTAACATTAATATCCAATTTTCAACAGGTCTCTACTCCTTTTTACCTTTCTTTATTACTTTACAATATTTATCATCATCATCAATTGATATTGAAATCTATTACTTGGCTAAGGATTCTGGCAAAGTGCAATTTTGGTACATAGAAGGATAACTGTTACCTCTTGGATGAGTTTGACAACACTGCACCTGAACCTTAACCCGTTCAACATATTCGAAATTGAATCGATTGAATAAATCTATTGTCCTTAATTGTGCACAGTCATTGTTGACTGCTGATTAATACAAGACGTTATCATGTCACCAATCTCATGTTATGTCTGTGAAGACTTATTATGCAAGGAAGTCAAGAACTTTTATGACTCACTTTCGGAAACTATTGAAAACTAGGATAACATTTTTATAACATAACAGTAGGTTATGCAATTTTGTTGAAAACACCTACTAAATATTCAATATCAGGCAAACGTGACGTCGAACTAGGTATATGTTAAACCGTCTGTTGTTTTGAAAATTGCCATTTTTCTCTTTCCTAAACCGGTGGAACAATTGAACGTATCAAAAACAACACTACTTTGCATATGTTGTACGATAATAAGTATATTAAAAATTCAGCAGCAGAAAGAGTACAGTACAGTACAATAGAGGGTTTTGGTTGAGTCTGCGGAGTTCGTAGATGTTTCATTGGTTTCACTATTCTTCTTTGCATGGTTACTAACAACGCATAAATGTATTCCTGACTTCACAGGCTCCGGCCAGATCTATTCCGATATTTATATGGTCAAAAATTAGATGAGCCCGATTCGTGCTAACAAACTTTGTTTCTTCAGATCTGTAGATTATTTTTGGAGGTGAAACAACACCTCCTTATATGCGTTTACAGCTTTCTGGCACCTACTTTTTACACATTGCTCAACCTCCCAATGACCTCAACATGTGTCTACTACCCATTTAAAATATATTTCATACTCTCGAAAACTTACATGAAGTTCAAACTTACTGTATGTCTTCTTTCTCCAGTTATACGCTTGAGCGTGAACAACTTCTTATAAAAATTCAGGTATGTCACTCTGTTCAATGCTATGGAATCGTAAATTTCCACACACCTCACTTTTTTGACACTACACTGGACTTCAACTTTTCTTCGATGTTCCAGGATATCAAGATTGCAAGTGATGTTCGTGTCTCCGATCAGGCAGATGACTATTATCTGGGTGGAATCCAGCAGCTTCAGGGTATGTTTGGGGGTGGAGTACCATGCATGAGAAAAATACTCCAAATAAGGTCTGATCTGAGCTTTATGAAGGATAAAAAATTGCTGAGGTTTGTACAGTTTTCTGCAGCAGACTTCACAATTCCAGACAATGCCAAGACATATTGAACCTGGTTACTTTCATACCAATTCGAAATTCCTTCTAGATCCTCAATAAGATATGCAACCTGATGCTGCAGGTGAAGGAGTGTATCCGCAGCCGATGTCCTGGAATCCAAATTTAATGAGAGAAAAGTGCTGTCGTCAGGAAAGCAATATATTGGATTCTTGTTTTTTTCCAGTCGTTGATTTACATAAATAGACGGTTGGAGACAATATGGATCCTTGGGGATACCAGCGGATATCGCAACTCATTCATGTATTATATTGTGTAGGGTCCCTATGACTGATATCTGATTCAATTCCATAGAGTTTGGAGTACAAACTGAATAGGAGGA